TTTAATTCATTAATGGGAAATCATGTCCATGGCTGTTTTAAGTTTTTATATAAATCGATGACTTTAAGATCCTCTAAGGGGATGCTGGAATGATCAAATTATCGATAGAGTTCTATAAAAATCTCTGAATTGACTCAACGAAATCAAAATCCTTTTTATAGATTAAAGTAGACACAAAATATTGGAAGGTGGTGCAGTTGACTTTATATCAAAATCGAAAAAAAGTTAAAAACTCACTTATTTTTCAACTCATAGAGCTGTCACCCCCCTGACGTAAATATTTTTTTAATACAAAAGTTTTATAGCTCTCTGCTGTATATGGACAGAACGGCAGTGCACCGTAATCCGCTGGATTACGTGCATGAACAATGATTGTTAATAGGAAAGATCAATACTCTGAAAGGTGATAAAAATCGATCATTTTAAGCAAAAATATTCATATATACATTTATCTTATTTCGTAAATATGCTTATTTGAATATATTGTTTGTTACTTAATATTTTATTTGGCTGTATACATTTTGAGTTATGTAAAGTTAAATAGCATGGCATTTCTAAATTCTAAATAATAAATATTTTGTAACTATGAGTGTAAAATCAATTTAACAACATTTTTGGTAAATATAATGGTTAAGTTTTAAATACTAATTATTAATCAAACTATTGTATAAAATGTAAATAGGGGACCATAATATACACGCACCACACTGCGCCACGCTATGCCACACCACACCATATCACACCATATCACTTCCTCCTCTATATATATATATATATATATATATATATATATATATATAAATTACCTATCTAAAATTATGAGATCAATATTAAAACGTGTTTATATACTAATAGAGACCTCCAGATTAATTCTTAATGTATTATACATATTTACAAATGATATAAGAGTTATCAGGGATATATTCCAATCAAAAGAAATAATTACTGATTGTTTACTGAGCACTTTATTTTGCTGAATGCAGTCCATATGTTGACAAATAATTTCGAAATATAATAAAGTAACTTATAAAAGGCACTATTATAAATATGACATCTAAAGCTGTCAAATCGTAATATTTGCTTGATATAAAAGCTTTGCAATCTGTACTTACAAAGTTTGAAATTTCAGGCAAGTATATTATATGAAAAAACAATGACAAATTTTTAGAATCAGACTTATTGTTAGATACCTAAATCGATACAAAAAATATACTTGAGAATATACGCGTATTTACGTGATATCGATGTAATATGTAATAATACGTGATGTTTCGTAAATCATATATGTAAATCGCATTCAATCGATAAAATAGATGACCTCGTCAAAACTTAGTCTTCACTTTAGAATTCCCTTAAATTTATTTAGAATTACTAATTTTTGTTTCGATATTCTTCATTTTTCTAGGTGTCGATTCTGCAAGAAAGCATTCTCCGACAGCTCGACACTTACCAAGCATCTGCGTATACACTCCGGTGAGAAACCATATCAGTGTAAACTGTGTCTACTTAGATTCAGTCAAAGTGGTAATCTCAATAGGCACATGAGAGTCCACGGCGGTTCCCTGACGTGACACACTCCTTCTGCACCAGTACAATCTGCGATGACGATAATTGACGACAGTAGTGCTGCACATTCATTGTCCAGATGCTGTCGAATACCTGTGATTCGATTAGGAACAAACTCGCCGGAAAAGTAAAACGCAGAAGCAACCTCAAATATATATTATTTAGTTAATATCGGTTTAATTTATTAACACATATTTAAAAAAACAGCTTAAATAAAAAAATTGTTGCGAATAAACATGAATAATTTTCTTGCACATGATAGAGATTCTCTATTTATGATAGAGAAAAATTTGTAAATTCACAAATAGTAAATTATATATTCCTATTATAACAGAAATCAATGTGAAATTTTATAATTATTTTGTAATTAAATTGTAGCAAAAATATAATTCAAATTATAAGTTATGCCAAGAGAAAGGATATGATTTTTGTAATCATAGAAAATTGTATTACCTCCAAAACATTAAGTAACGATATTCAATAAAATTCTCTAATGGATAACTATACCAAAAGCATCAAATATTAAATAATATCATGCATTGATGATATATTTACTATTTTTAATATTGTCAATTTGTAACAAAGATACGTTTTACCTATAGCATATATTTTGGAATTTTATTCAGTTTTATTATTTCTCTTATATCCATTACAAAAGATGTGATTTAAAAGTAAGGGCTAATCGGTCTAAAATATGTAAATTATTATAAATTGGATAACATAATGCAGAAAAAAGTAATTAAGTTAATATATCTGACTTCAGTATTAATAAATAAAAATATATAAGTGAGACAGAAGCTTTAATGTAGTCTAGTACAAGTTGAAAATAGCTAAATTGGCTGAATTTCCACAACAGATTTCTCGAAACAAAAATATAGAAAAGCTGATGCACAAATAATGTTTAGAAAAAAATCATTGAGTACGTAAAAAAGAGGCAATATGATTCTTACGATTAATAAAATACTCGTATTTCTATTCAACTGATTTTTTCTAATGATCGTTCGACCTTTAACTTTAAAACACATCTTGTATAAAAAATATTTAAAAAGGGCATATTTATCAGTTATAAATGTTTTTTTCTTCTTTTTACAAAGATTATTTTTCAGTTGCGTCATAAATGTAATAAATTTTACAAAATACAAGTCGATGAAAACATCAAACAAGTTCACAAATCAAGCAGTGATATCCTTTTATGATTAGCAAAGAATCACTTCTGATCACAAATTTGAATGTGCTTTTATATACTGTGTTTTGTACGTATATCAATCAGGTTGGGATGTATACAAATTGGGATAAATAAAGAAATTCAAATGTGCGACATATCTAATATAACATACCGCAAAGCAAAACTGCGTTAACATTATTGTACAAATATTGTATTTATTATAATTATTATTAATTATAATAATAATGTTGCTCGTTTATCTCGACATCATCTTCTCAATTAATTATTCTATCGTCATCGAGTGTGTTGAATGACTCTTCTTATTTTTTATTGTAATTCACTTCTCTTTTGTTTATATTTCACTCTTTTTAGTTGTTTATAATCGTAATGAATGAATGAAATGCGTAATTTTGGTGCTGTCAATTTTCTCTCGTCGAGAAAAGAAAAATAAAATGAAATAAAATGAAAAAAAACGAATATTACAGAATAATCTTCTACCTATACATATATTCGCATAAGAAACTCATTGATTAAAAAAATTATTATCAATTAAAAGCAATCTATCTTATTATTTCTTTCGTTCGCTCGCTTATTAATAGTTCCATAATATCAAGGATTTCTTCTTCGCTTTTCTTTTTTTTAGGGAAAGAAATATTCGAATAATCCTTTTTTGCGTGTCAATTCAAAATTATCTTTTCGCAATTAAAATTATATATGTATAAATGAAAACATGTCTCTCCATAGTTTCTTCTTCTCAAGTAGAATAGTTCTATTTTCTCGCTTTCTTGTTCCTCATTCTTTCTTTCTCTCTTTCTCGCTCGCTCGCTCATACATACACAGACACGCGCGCACGCACGCACGCAAACGCACATACACACACGCACACACATGCACACACACGCACACGCGCACGCACACACGCACACACGCACACACACACACACACACACACACACACACACATATATATATATATATATATATTTAAAAGTAATATTCTTGCAAAAAAATATGTATAATGTTTCTCTACGTTATGTAGATACGACTGCGTCAAGATGAGTTAGTTCTGCACATTTCTCTTTTCTTTCATCTAAGCAGCAACAAGCTTTTAATTCAAGACCATCTTGTCGTGCAGTAGACGTATCTTATGTACTTCTTGTGTTTATGTATGTAACGTATTCTATTAAAAAATGAGTGCATGATCTCTCACACGCTCTATATATGTATATGTATGAAAGTGTGTTTGTGTGATGCTTTATGTTTCTTCTTTCTTTTTTCTTGTTTTTTTCCTCTCTCACTCTCCTCTGTTTCTATGTCACCTCGTGTTATTTCCCTCTTTCGGATTTCTATCGTGTGTGTGTGTGTGTGTGTGTGTGTGTGTGTGTGTGTGTGTGTGGTGTGGGGGGAGGTGGGTGTGTGTGTGTGTGTGTAGGGGTGGGTGAGTGGGTGGGTGCGTGCGCGCATACGCACGCGCGCGTACACACACACATGTATGTGCGTACGTATGTATGCATATATGTATGTATGTATGGATACACACACACAAACACACAAATATATATGTACATAATGCATATATATGTATGTATATCTCCGAAACTACATCAGATTTTTATCTAAAGTCGAAATTGGAATGATTTTTTTCGCGTTTTCTCGCTCGGAGAAAGGCTTGATCGCGGAAGTGTACACGTTGCATCCTGGAGGCTTCCACGATAACCAAACTCAGTCTAGTCTTTTCTTTCTTCTTATTCGGAGTACTTTTAACCCAATAAAGGCCATGATACATTATAAAGAATATAATTTTTAAAATAAATTATAATAAATTAATAAAAGAAATTTCAATAGAAAAAATTGTTAAAGACTGATACACAAAGAACTTTTAATTTTTTACATTCTCTCTCTAAACTAGAAAAATTTTTATGATACATTAATTATATATAAATATCAAACTTCTCAAAAATCTTAATTAAATCAAAGTTTTTTTTATTTCAAAGATTAATATTAATTGAATAATTCATTGAATAATTAATAATCAAGTAATATTTAAATTTGTTTAATTTAATATTTCTTTATATATGTATATATATATATATATAATTTATACATTTTTATATTTTAATATTTCAAACATAAATATTAAAATTATTTAGAAGTTATTTAAATTGAAATGACATACGTTATTTGAAACAAAATTTCTTTTAATTTATATTTGCATTTCTTTTTTACTATGATTATATTAATCAAAAAACGTTTTTATTATAATCTTCATAAAATGGGCCGTTAATGGGTTAAATAACGAAGATTATCTCTTTTATCCTGACATATCAGCCGCTGAAAATTGAAAACAAAAATCGCCTGTAATATTTTTTGCAAATTTGATAATATATTAAGACAATTTTTTAATCCCAATGCTTCAGTAACCCTTTTTTAAAATTCTTCATTAATTAACGAATTAATGATTTAATATTGCAATTTAATTTTACAATAATAGCAACCTTAGGATAAAATTAATGCCATAGAACTAAAAAATTATTAAAATGAAAAACCGAATAGAAACGTAAATCTTTGTAAAATAGATTGTCTCCATTTTTGTATATTCAATTATTATTATCGCATTATAATTTTCAGAATCTTTTGAGAAAATTGGTATTCTCATTTCTTTTCTTAATAATGTGTCATCTCTATTATATTAAAGTGTTTATAACATATCGCAATTGCTTTACTTCATACACAATAATCGTGTTATAATTATTAATTAATAAAATTCATTTTCGTATGCTCTCTCTTTCTCTCTTTCTTTCTCACCCTCTCCTCAGCAATTTCTTTCTCTCCATTTTCTTACTTATATCGCAACTTCTTATCAATCACGCTTCAAATCAAACTCACATATTTAAAAAAAAAAGACAGTTATTCTTACATACTTGTTCAGAAAACAAATTATTTGTTTCGACAAAAATCTTCTATTATAAGAAATTGTGCCAATTATCGGTAATTAAGTGTAACATAATATTTTCGCTTGCGATAAAAACATTACATTATTCTAAGAGATCCAGGCATTAATCAACAATTGTTTAAATAAACCGAAAAAAATGTAAAATTTACTAGAAACGACTTTTCATTCATTTTTCTCAGTCTTTTAAAATAAGACAATATCATTATTACGAAAAAAATTTATCTCAAATATAAATATTAATACAACATATGTGTAAATTTTTCTTACGATTCTTTTATAATTTTTGCCTAAATTTTATTTCCGCTTGATAACAAGTATCTGCTCGAATATTTCCATTTTGTTTAAATTTCTATACATTTCTTAATGTAGTATTATCTTATTATTTCTTCATATTATTATCGCAAATACAGGAATTGTTGTAATGCCTTGATCACTTCCTGTATTCATGCATTTTCGCGATTTCACGTAAAATGTATCTCACAAAACAACTATATTTTTCTGTCTCAATGCAATTTGACTCAAAAAATTACAATCTGTACTAAAAAATTCGTTTCTTAAAAACATTAAATAATTTGATATTACATAGAAAATTATTCATTGTTATAATTACTTTTTGAAAACAGAAATGGGAAAATGCGGACCCAAACGATAAATGCAGACCCAAATACAGTGTGACAAATTAATGTATGACTCTATAAGAAAATCAAATTGCGTTTTGCAAATATGTTTTTTAATATCAAAATTAGGGTAAATAATCAAAGTGTAAAAAATTCTTTTTTTTCTTTACTTCTTTTATTCATTAAGCAAATATATTGAAATGAAAAATATTCAATATGATACAATTATTCAAAATAAACATAAAAGTAAGAATATTATAATACGCATCGCGATTTACAATCAAGGATAACACAAACATTAAAAGAATCGATTTTAAGAAATTAATATAATCGACGTTTTTTCGTAAACCCGATTTTAATTATAGAAATAAGAGAACTGTTCATTAATATCTAGAAGTAAAAATTGGAAGAAAGTACTATATTTTCGTGAAATTAATTAACATATACCATCTATAATCAAGTCTACAAATAGACATGAATGTATCGTGTACAATACTTTGTTTTTGTTACAACATTGGTGAATAAATTCCTTTCTTTCAATGTTACAAAGAGGAAGAACTGCTTAATTTGCTTAACATTCGCACTAAATCTTTTAATTTCCTATATAACTCAATTATAAATTGTTATGATTATTAGTAATTATTAATAATTCTTAAAATAGAGTCCCACAGTCCCCGTGGCTCGGCATGGCTTGCCATGACTCACCATGGCTTGGAAAGCCTCTACGCGCCATAGGACCAGGACGGTTCGTTATCGCTTACGGCTCGTGGCTCGTGACACATCGTTTATGAAAATTTGCGGCAAGTTCTTTGGCGCGAGCCAAATATCAAAAATAAGTATACTGAGTATTTTGCAAATATTGAAAGTTTTCTTCGCTGATTCAGAACTATAAAAAATATAATTCAATTAGCGCGAAAGAAACTTTCAACGTAACAAAACAAATTTTGCTGAACGTGGTCAATGCTTGCAAAAAGTCATTTCATATAAATTTTTTCATGTAATTATAGAAACTCGACGATTTTTTCATCCTAATCTATACTACGACTTGAATGATAAAAAAATCACTAATAAGTGTCTCAACTAGCAATAATAAACAGGCTCTTATACATTTATATGCTAGCATAAAGAAATTTGGTGGTGCAGCGACCCGCAGTAGTTAATTATTACATTTAGTCAAGGCGCGAGCCATGGCGGGCCCTTTGATTTACGTTAACTTTACCGACATGGTGAACCAAGGAGTCACGAGCCGCGAGCCATGGCGAGTAATAGGGTACCTTCCAACAAGCGGCTCAGTAAACCTAGTGGTCATTCTTGTTTAACATTGGCGAACAACAAGGATGTAATGATGCATCACACCGTATCATGTGTGTCTCTTGTTGGAAAGCACCCATAGTGAGCCACCCTGTTTCTACGGTAGAAACTCACTGAGCCATGGCTCGTTATATGGCGAACTTAGCTCGGTGCGCCGTGGGATTGCCGTGGGACCACAATTTTAGTCTTTTTTTTATATCAATTTCGGGACTAATCCTGTGACGAACGTAGGCGAGCCAAGGTAAATCAGGAACCATGCCGAGCCACGGGCCATGGAATCCTACCTTTAGAATTATGATCATAAAGATTATCGTTTATATATCAGAACTTTCAAATTTATGAGTTAGAATTTTAATTTGTTCGTTTCAATTACACGCTCTTTTTGCACTAGTCTCTCTTTTATTCCTTTTTAAATTATATCTATTATTATAGTTGATTGAAGTAATAATTCAAATTAAATATAAATATACACTTATATTTAATTCGTAAGTGCGCACACACGCACGCACGCACGCATCATACACACACGCACGCATACACACACTAACGTTTATTAATTCGAGAACGCTTGCAATTTTTTCACTTTTTACAAAAACTTAAATATTGTTTAAAAAATCGTAAAGAAGTTTTTAAAAATGCATTTTAAAAAAGAAAAATAGAAGTTTTCTAAAGCAATGTTTGAATTTTATCTCTATTTTTTGTTCCTTCTACTTTTTCTTTTTCTTTGGTTAATGGCTCCCGTCTCTCGAAATAATAAGCGGAGCTTAATACGGCCAGATAACGTCATATAAGAGATACAAAGATTAAAAGTGATGCAATGTCTGCAAAAATGGCGAAACCCGCCCGGGCACCATTTTTTGATGTTGTACCTAGATTCCTAGACAAAACATCATCGGACAAAATTTGAGCGTTTTAAAGTAGAGATCTTAAACTTTAACATTTTAAACTTTAACATACTTTTCGAAAAAAATTGATATAATAATTTTTTATATAGGAAACTTTTTATTGTAAAACATTTTATTGCGTAAAATTGCTTGCTCTTTGTAAAATTTTTTTAATTTCCAAAAAGATAAAAAAGATATTTATTGTAATATGCTAAATTTGTATACATTTTTTCAAAATTTTTTATAAACTTTATACAAATCATTTTAGAAAGTTTTTACACAGTAAAATTTTACATAACAAACATTCGATATTTTTGCGAAAAAGCATCGTACCAGTTTTTTTTTCAAAAGGCATTTTTTAAAGCTTAGAATGTTCACTTTAAAATGCTTATTTGTTTAATTTTGTTCGACGATGTTTCATCCAGATACAGTACTTCGAAAAATAACAAAAGTTAAAAAAATATCTATTTTCACTTTTATACAATTTAGAAACAAAATATCGTGAAGACAAAATTCAAACACTAGTTTGAAAAGCTATTTTTCTTTTCTAAAATGTATTTTTAAAAACTTCACGTTTTTTTTCCAACAAAATATTTAAGTGCGTATGTATGTGTATGTATGTGTGATGATTCATTTCAATCTTATCAGATAAATATTTTGAAAATATGCAGTTTTTTATCAAAAAACATTTCAAATAGAAGTTGTATGATATAGAGGGAGGCATACAATCGTGATGTCTCTCTCTATATTGCACAACTTTTATTTGGAATGTTTTTAGGTAAAATTGCATATTTTAAAAATATTTGCCTATTACGATTAAAATGAATCACCCTATATATATATATATTGGGTTTCTAACATATACATGTCAATATTTCAGTGGATGACTTCACATATTAAAGTAAAAAATATCATATGAAGTCTAAGGCCCTGCGCACAATGGAGGAAATATAGGAACAGGAATAGATATTCAGATTTTAACCTATCAGATACCAGTTACACCGGAATACACGGTTTCTGATAGGTTGAAATCTTAATATCTATTCCTGTTCCTAATATTTCCTCCATTGTGCGCAGGGCCTTACATACCTTAATTTTCAAGTTATGAACGATTAAAGAAATTGTTCAAATTATCCGCCTCAACAGACGTTACTACATACCTTAGCACGTCTTGATCTTACCTAATGTTTATAAATAACATCCATCAATATTACAATGCAGTAACGTGTGTTGAAGTACAATGCAGACACTTCAAACATTTTCTTTAATCATCCGTTTAACTCGAAAATTAAAGTATATAGGACATATATTTATATGACGTTTCTTTTTAGTGTAATTTTATCTCCTAAAATATTAATATGCATTTATGAAATATTCTGTATAAACATTAGGCTGACCAAAAACTTGATTCATTTATTTCTTTTCTTTATTTGACAAAAGAATATAAAAGGAAAAACAGGAAAAGTCTTAATAAATCTACATTTTTTCTTTATATATATAACTATGGATTTTTCTTTTATATATATCTGAAAAGTGTGAAGATATGTGACAATTGATCTCTATATA